TTGTAAATCCACGTTTCCTCACCTGTTCTATCATATATTCATCATGTCATGCAAGTAAAAATCACTCTTCTCAGGACACTATGGTTTTAGGTTGTTAACATTTGTGACAGCTTGTGGCTTTGATTACCCATACCTTGCTGCCACTAAAGAGGGCTGAGCTTACCCAAAGCAGGTAAGAAGGAAGAAAGAGGAATTAGCATCAGACAAATGAAGCAAAGGCACAAGAAAGAGGTGAAACCATTTTGTTTTTTGGAGGACAATCACTATAGCCTTCTGAGTTACAAAACTATCTCAGCTAGTATTATGGAATAAAATTCACATACTGTTAGAGATGTGCTCCAAATTTGAATAACTTGTAAAGCCTGGTAAGGAAAGGTATTTGCTAAGTGCATTAGCAACTAGTTACATAGCATTTTATCTAATACACAAAATCAGTATTGACTTTATAGCTGTGGTCCAAACTCAGAGCTAGAATATTCTCACCTTGCTATCTTCAAATTACTAATAAGAGGGCATTGCTTAATTGGCATCTTAATTGCAAAGATCTCAATGAAAATTACATTTAGAACAGGAAAATCACTTCTGATTAAAAAAAGATGATGGATCATGCATTGAGGGAATGAGTTTCATAAACTTATTTTTCCAAAATAATAGATATGATGAAAGATTGATTTTCGTAGTCATAAAGGTACCAAACATGTCTGTGTGTGTGAGTGAGAAAGCCGGGAGTGGGGAGTAGAGAAAGGAGAGAGAACACACTAGGGGTAGTGCTTGCATGTGGGTGAGGACTAGCTTAGGGGTGGCTTGAATGGTATGGCCTCTGCTTTTAGATTAGAGCCAACCAATGCGGCTTGTGAAGCTTCACAGAAATTGTGATAGTCTCAGGCCTCTTGGAGAGCAATGAAAAAATATTTGGATATAACTGGTATGCTGGCATATGTTGAGGGTGGAGAAGAAGAAGGATGAGAAACAGAAGAGGAAAGAAGGCTCCATGGGAAAATGCTTACCATATCCTCCAATGTCATGACAGAATTGCTGCTGAAAAACTCAGCATCATCTTTTCATTTTTTTTTACCGAACAGAGTGAATTTTAAGTTCGAAGTTCCACCTTTCCATTATGTTTTTTAGGGTAGGAGTCCCCACCTTTAGACCATGGATCAGTACCAGTCCATTGCCTGTTAGGAACCGGGCCACACGGCAGGTGAGTGGTGGGCCAGTGAGCGAAGCTTCATCTGTATTTGCAGCCGCTCCCCAGCACTAGCATCACCACCTCAGCTCCACTTCAGATCAGGTATTAGATTCTCATAGGAGCACCGGTTCCTGGTGCCAAAAAGGTTGTGGACTGATGTTTTAGGCGACATTGTTGAATCCTACCTAGATCCCCTCAGATCCCCTGCACCAGCTCTGTGTGCCCATCTCTAGTTTGAGTGCTTTTCTGCTAATAGTTTGCACCTGTGACCTTCAGCAATCTGCCCTTTAGCACTGAAGCTAGAGGCCTAAGAATACCTTGAAGTATAAAGTTGTCAGATAAAATACAGAACTCCCAGTTACATTTAAATTTCAGATAAACGATAAATAATTTTTAGTATAAAAATATACTAATATTTATATAGTATATAAATGAAAGTATTTCAAACTAGACAGAAAAAGATGAAAATCACATGATATCACTTATATGTGGGATATAAACCTACAAGCAACAAATGAGTAGGGCAAACAGAGATTCATGGACATGGACTATAGACTAGTGATTACCAGAGGACTATAGAGTAGTGGTTACTAGTGGGTGGGGGAGGACGGGGAGGTAGACAGGGTAAAGGGGATAGGGGAAGGGTAAGTGGGTAAAGGGGATCAAATATATGGTAGCTGAAGAAAACTGGACTTTGGGTGGTAAACACACAATAGAATATACAGATGTCAAATGATAATGTACACCTGAAAATTATATAATTGTATTAACCAATGTAACCCTAATAAACTTAATAAAAAAATAAAACTAAAATAAATGAAAATATTTCTTGGGACATACTTGAAAAAAAGTTGTTTATCTAAAATTCAAATTTGCCTGGGCATCCCGTATCTTTATTTGCTAAATTCAGAAACTCTATCCAAGGGAATTCACAGTCGACAACTGATTGGTATAGGAGCGCAATGGTCCGGCTCCTCAAAATGGAAAAATTCAGAGATATAACTTATGCTAGAGTCCCTTCTAGGATCAAGCTGACTCCTCAAACTCAGACTTAACCTGAGGGCATTGCTTATTTTTTCTCCCCTCTTTATTCTACTTCTCTTACTCCCTTACTGTTTTCCCCTGGAATCATTTAATAAATCACTCCCTTATGAATCTTTGTCAGAGAGTTTATTTCTGGGAGAGCATGATTGACATCTCACAAATTATGCCACATCGACAACTCATCATGATGTAAAAGGAATTAGGAATCACTGCCTTGAAGAGCATTCTGTTTATTAACTACAGTTTACATTTATATTTGCTTCTTGTGTCAAGTCCCTAGCAACCAGTGAAGAGTCATGTGCCACGTTCTTCTGAGAAGCTGCTGGGCCTTGCCCAACCCATTCATACTTTTCCCTGCTTTGAAATGACTGAAAAGTAACAAAGTCAACCAGGCATCTGATAAAACACTGTTTCCACTGATATGATGTGAGTGTTAAAAAAGAATGTCCCAGCCCTGTTGTTCCAGGAACAGAGCAATGAACCATGATGAAATATGTATTGTGGAGGAGAAAGGAAAATTAATTGCTAAGCTGGGTCAGGTAATAGACCAAAGATACTGGGATCTTACAATCTCTTTCCAGCCCTTTGCTGTTCCATAGCCTAAAATGAATTATAGGGAAGAATGCAAGTCTGCTTGTAGAATGCAAGGAGAAAAGAAAATCCTCCAGTTTTCAACTTGGCTTTGCAGAATTACTGCATCTCCAAGCAAACAAAAGGGAGTTAACATCTTTAGGTGATGGAAGTTAAGAAAAGATGGGCCACCTCATGCGCCAACTTTCTAAGGAATAATTTGGGATAATGTAACTCATATCACTGTGGCAGTAGATTAATGAGTCAGTCTATTAATTGTGATAAATGCATATTCTAGGAAAAGGACATTTTGCTCTACTGATCTCCCAAACATCCTTACTCTCTTTCTTACAGGCGAAACATTATTCTTGGCATACCTAAGCCAACTATACTTTTATTACCTGTAAACCATTTCAGGTATTTACAATTTAAAAGACAAAGTCTTTTAGGGACCTTCTTCCAGTTTAAAATAAGAACAAGAAAACCTTGGGTCAATACACCAGTTTTTGGTGAAACATGTCCATATAGCTTTCCAGCTTTGTGGTTATTTATACTCAGCAAGGGATAAAACACAATGAATAAACCGAGGCAGACAAAATCTGGAAGAATGGTACAAGTACTGTGATACTGGAGACCATGCCCTTTATTCTTGTTGAGTAACTATAAAACAAATTAATTTAAAAGGAAATAATCTAATTTTGTTTGTTGGGCCAAGAGACTTTGTTTTATTTTTTAAAAAAGAACTCCATCTTTCTTCTTTCTCTCTCCCTCTCTCCCTCTTTCCTTCTCTCCCCTATCCTTCTGTCCTCTCTCCGTCCGTCCGTCTGTCTGTCTGTCTGTCTATCTATCTATCTATCTATCTATCTATCTATCTATCTATCTATCTATCTATAATCTATCTATCTATATCTCTCTTAAATGCTAGCCTGAAGTATAAGCCAAGATGGCTCATCCATGAAGTCTGATCAAAAATTGCAACACTAAACTAGTTGCTTATCATCTCTAAGTAATTTTGATGTCTTAAGAGTCAGGAGTTTAACAATCAAAACCAAAAATGATATTTTTATACTAAGTTTTCTGGGACAGAACATGGGGCTACTCCAAGGGAGGTCAAAGGTAACTATTTCAAGGACAAAGGCAACCATGGTTTAAATTTTATCACAAAGGAAATATATACATAGTCTTGAAAATTTGGAAAATATTGAATATGGTGATGATCTTTTGATAGTGGATAAATTATTTATTTTATGCTTCCATATGTTTTTCTGTGCAGTTTTGCATAAAGTGACACGTTTGAAGAAATGTTTCAGGGGGAAAAAAGAAACAGGTATGGAAAGCCACCATGAAAAAAACAGCAACAGGCACGAGAATGTCCTCTCTAGGGGAATTTGCCCTTCTATATTCTAAAATGAATAACAAGGAGAATGTATTTCTGCTTGTAGAACCTAAGAAGGTTTTACTATTCTGGCTTTGCAAAATTACTGCAGCTCTAAGCAAACAAAAGTGAGTTAACATTTTGGACAAAGCAGAGAAACATGAGGATAGGTCTTTTTTCTCATTGCTGCCTTCGAAAATACATTAATCATTAAAGTAAGCCTTGATTTCTGCCCAACGAGATAAAGAAAATTAAACTTGATATGAAAAGTATGCTCTTGGCTATCCTTTCTATTTCTCTTTACTTTTCTTGACAAAGGTGATAGCTCTGTGCATAGGAGATTCTCACTTGGCCCAACTGATAATGAGTTAGAGGAGGTGGAAGTGAAATTTATGGAAATTCTCTGAAGCAGTTAAAATGATGAATTATTAATAATTTTTAAAAAGCTATCAGGAATATCCATGACACTTAGAGGTTTTTTTTTTTTCAGACGTTTAAACAAAAAAAGATCAAGAAATCAATAAAAAGAATTTTGTTTCTCTGTACATCTCCACTTGAACTGCAGCCCTGAGTTCCAAAACATAGTTTCATCCCTGCAGGCAACACAGACGATTTCAATCGCTGTAATTCCAGAAGTGTAAGTGCTTTCCATTTCAACTAAAAAATATCCTCCTGCCTTTCCACGTTATGTTTTAGGAGTTCTCAAAGAGATAATACTTTACAGACACCTAGAAGCACTGTTTGAATGGAAATACAACACCCTTATCCTCAAACAATAAGAGTTACATATTGTTCCCCAGCTCCAAACTGCACGTGTCTTACCTGTCTGAACTGGGGGCTGACTTTAAACTCCGAAAATGTTGGCTGTCTAAGTCCATGCTATAGCTCCTCCCACTTTCAGTTTTGGGAGTTATGATGATTTCTCCTCTGGTTGCTGATCTGAACTTGCTAAGAAGAAATCTGAAAGTATACATATATATATTTAAAAGATAAGAAAGAGAGCATTTCAAAATATAATTTCAAAAAGACCATTTGTAGTACTTTCAATAGTAAATGATTCTTCAGTAAAGTGGGCTTGGGGCTGAGAGGTTGTGGGGTATTCCCATGCCTCTACAGTATAGTGTCAAGGGTGGTGGACGAGGAGGTTATGACATTCTCCCAAGGCCATAACACTTGTTGGTAAGGCAAGCCTCCGTCCCTGATAAGAAAAAAAGAGCATTGACTTTGGGAACTTAATCATTGTTACCTGAGAAGGGATAAGCACTGCCTGGGCTGAGCCTGTCTGCTGGGGTGCTTAGAATAAAGAGTTTGAACTCACCTTGCTAGACAAGGGAGCTCTGATGATCCCGAGACAAACTGAGGTGGCAACTTATTAGACTGCTCTTGTTCCCTCCAAGTTCCCTGAGTCTAGATTATGCCTGGAACATACTAGAACCCAACCAATTCTTGTGGAATGAGTGACTGAAACCATGTAGTAGGAACCATCTTTATATCTTCCATGACATTTCTCCCTGTGGGAATGAAGTTTAAACAATGGAGTGTTTCATGTAGTATGAAATCTGATTGCATTCTCATTTCACTAAATTATTTGGAACTTGAGTAAAAACAGCTTTCAAGAACCAAGATTCAAGTAATAATCTAGGCTACTGAATGCTCGAAACATGGGGGTTTCCTAATTCACTTTAATAAAATCCAAAGCTATATTCTTTTTTGTGATGGCACTAGGAGAGGCCAGTTCATTTAGTCAACATTCTACGGTTTTCTAAGTGGGGGGTGGGCAATGTATCCAAGGGTATTAGGACAATCGTAATGGAATCTGCCACGTTGTCTCTGTTTCAAAGACCACTGGAAGAGTGTTTTGCAGTGTCAGAAACTGCAATCTGACTGGAAAAATTATATTTTTGACGAGAATAGCACTTAATATTATGTCAATCTATACTGCTCTGAGAACCACCTTGTACATGTTCCCACCTCCACACTTCTACTTAAGATATCTCTTGCACCTCGATCACTCTTCTCCACCGTTTGCTATCCTGGACCCATTCCATCTTTCGAAGTCCTCATCAAGTCCCACTTACAATTCCATGTCTTTCCCAATGACCCCTGTGTCCTCCTGACATTGATTACCTAAACCACTTATTTAATATTTACTTACTGCCTTATGACATCTCTTGTAGTTAATTAACACCTTGTCTTGTTTTAGAAAGTCTTTCGAGCAGCTCATATTGTCATCTTATATTTTCCTAAAATTCTTATATACATATTCACTTTCCAGGTAGGTGTGTACCTTTTCCCCTCAACGAGGGATTATACTTCTTGAAGACTGAGAATCATCAGGTCCCAGTTATGAGTTCCAACAAGGCTCAGTCTAGTACTATATCTGTTTTTAACAAGTCAAGATGTATATAATTCACTGTGCTGTGAGTTGCTTATTGTCCCCCAGCTCCAAGCCCATCACTCTATATCCTACACAAGCTTATCCTTCTATAATCTACACAGGTGCTTGAACTGGGATCTACAAACTAAAGCTCCTAAAAGCACCTATAGGCCCTGAGTTACTTATTCAATCATGCTACTGATTGTTTTTGATGAGCCAGATACCCTGTTGGATACACAAAAACAAGAAAGCCACAGATTTAACACTGAGATAGCTTATAATTAAGTTGTGGGGGGTGGATGGTAAGAAGTGGTGTCAGAGTGAAATGTAAGGGGTGATACACAGGCACGAGGCATTGTGGAAGTTCTGAGGAGTGACAAATGGATTCAACATGGTAGGAATGATCAATACATTGGACGTATGGTCACTCTATGCTATCTTTTCCATTCATCTCTGCTAATTAATAAAGACATGATGAGTCATGAGTGTTTGAGTTAGAAGACATTCAGGTTTCATTCCTATTCACAGTTCAAGATTCTAAAAAACAACAACAACAATAACAACAATAACAAAAGACTTTCTGTAGAGCCAAGTAAAGCCTCAGACACTGGCAGTCTCTCACATTGATTTCTACTGAGAAGACAATGCAATGCTATTTGGAAAGAACCATAAAGTAACTTGGTATATATTAGAACTCTCATTACTTCAGCCGCAAAACTGGTCAACAGCTGCCTGAAAAACAAAGACTGTAACATACCGTGAAACAGCAGTTTGCCTTTTGGTCCTTATAGCTTGCATTTTAGGGGCCACTTTTCTCCCTTGATGGAATCCTCTTGCCCCTAGTTTCCCAGTGCCTCTCTGAATTTACTTTCCTATGTGCCTCCCATTTCCATTCTCAGTATCTGACATATATATTTGCTTTCTGAATTAAGTTACTGAGATAGCTAAATGTGATTTTTTTTTTCTCTTAAGGAAGGCTGCATTTTAAACAGGGGATATAACATTTTTAGCCCAATTAATAAATCTTTGATTTGGATATTCACATATTAGCATTCAGGTTGAGGGGAGAGGTGTTGACATTCTACAACAAAGGCAGTCATCACATCTTTATAAACAAGAATGGCCCTGACTTGAAACCTTCTACCTAAAAGCAATGGGAACCATTTGGTACAAAACCAGATAGGTCAAATGCAAGAAAAACTCTTATATGTTCAGATCAGAGGGGGCCTTTATTAATCTAAGACTGAAAGTTATTAAAACTACATTTTCTGATGAGAATGACAGGACAATGTTACCTTGGTTGAGTCTCTGACCTTCTCTGGGTCACTGAAATGACATCAGACTTCAAAAACTAAGGAGTCTTTATTTTAGAGGTGTCTGGAATAAAGGAAAAATTCTCTTGGAAAGGCTGTGTCTTACCCCTTTCTCCTGGGCCCATCATGGCTGGCCTTCTGCCCAGCAAAAGGTGAAGTGTTTGACTTCTCTGTGTCCTGGCGGGTTTGTTCTTGGTTTTGTATTTCTTCAGCTCCTCATTCAAATAATTGGAAGACAAATTTACACACAAAATGGCGAGAAATTAGAGCAATTTTCTATTCTTCAGTGGGACAAAGAAGTCTATAATAATTGGCAATGATGTCCCCCATCCTAAAAAATCCAGTCACGGAGTTATTTCTAACCCATTGGGTTTGTTCCAGAGTTAAATGAGGACAAAGATCAGGACTCATCTGTGGGGGATTTACTGAGATAAGCTTTCTAGGGATGACTACAGTGGAGGAATAATACATCCTCCCTCTACAGGTATTTTTAGGACAGAGGAGTCTGGATTCGTATCTCTAGAGACTGAATTCAAGCATGGAATCCTAGAAACAGTACCCTGAACACCTAAGCCAGATTTCCTGGGAGGATGAGCACCTATGCATACATCTCATGACTTGAGAAAGAGTCTATATACTCTGGCAGGTGTTGAAGTTTGAGTGGAGGAAGTGGCCATAGCTAACTGCTTAATTCTAACTCTACTTCATTCTGTCCATCTGTGGCATCAGACTTGATGTTGCCCATCTGGGAATCCCTTTCCTTGCTAGTGCCATACTCAGAAGTGGCAAAAGAATCAGTTCCAAGCCTCCTAGCCCTTCCTGCCAGACTTCAAAACAAAGGCATTAGTCTCTAGTATATGAAAGATGAGATACTTTAGGAACAGGCCAGAAGATGCCTGCTCTACCTTTACTACACAACACATGAGAAATATGCTCCTAAACACAAGTTTTAGTCAATATTTAACCAATTAAATTATAATTCAAATGCACAGAATAGTATTCATAGGGTGGGGTGTTATTTGCATTTGGTGACAGTATAATTCTTTATGGAGTGAAATCGTCCTGTGCCTTTCAGGCTGTTGAGCATCTTTGGCTCCTGCCCACTAAATGTCATTAATCTTCCTACCTCGCAAGTCACCGAGACAATCAGAAATGTCCCCCTTGCATTTCTAAATATTTCCTTGGCTTGGAGGAGGAGAGCGCAGTACACAATATCACTCCTTGACTGAGAACCGCTGGATTCAAAAAAGTAACATTTAAAAGAAATCTGAAGTACATCCAGTTGAGAAATCAATAATTGCTTTCACAATATGACAATGTAAATCATTTAATTCATCCATTTTCTGTTACTTCCTTAAATGTTTAGTAAAATTGGAAGTGCATGCAGGAAAAGAACTGTCTTGATGAAGATAAATGCTCTCTTTGAAAATCTCAGCGTGTCAGATATATGGAAAATCATCGTGGATTTTATTTTCTACTGATTTCTTCTTCCCTTGTATGAATTGCAAATTTAGATTTCATGTTTTAAAATGACTAAGGGATTCAGGAAATTCAACTGCATTCATCTGCTACATAATACAAGGAAGTTATTTAGCTTGCCAAAATGAAGATTAAAACAATTTTAAAACCAATAATTACCTGGATTTCTTCTTAAGATGGACTGTCGGACAACATCGGTGCCTAGAACATTGGCTTGCTTGAAACGCTTTGCCTTTTCTTTAAAAAACCATTCACCAGTTACAATCCTTAGCTGCCTACTCAAGGAAAAAGGAGAGAACATTGAAATTCAGTTATTTAGCAAAATAATTAACTCTCAAAAACCCCTAATTAAGGAAAAAAATAGTCAAATATTTACAAGTCCATCCCAATCTCTGGAGTATTTTATGGTGATTATTATGGATACTATTAGTTGAATACATACTATGTACCAGGTACTAGCTAATTTCTCTTCATATTTATATTTTTATCCACATAACAACTCTATGTAAACATTATTATCCCCATTTTATAGATGATGCAACTGAGACAGAGTAATAAAATGATGTGTCTCACATCACATATCTGGTAAGTAGTAGAGCAAGGATCCCATCCCAAGAAGTCTGGCCTAGGGCTCAGTGGGTACATAATTTTCAGTGAAAACAATGGGGAAACAAGCAAAAGTTTTGAATTACAAAGGGGTCATGATTGAACTCTGTTTTAGAATGATACCTTGATATAACATGATGACTGGGTTAGAGAAAAGAGAGAATGAGAGAAAGAGACAGGTTGCTATGGCAATAGTCCAGGAGAGAGATGACGAGACCCAAGTTAGGGCACTGGCAAGAATAGCAGAGAAGAAGAGATAAATTAAAAATGTAGGTGGTCTAAAGACCTGCCTGGATTTCACAATCAATTGAATGTTGAAGGCGAAAAAGAAGGATCTTTGACTAGTCACACCCATCTTTTAAGCCTCAATTGCAATGGTTACACAAACCCTTTACCCAGATATTCAGGCCTATTTACCAATCTCAGAACACGGCCCACAGAGCTGTTGGGATAGAAGTGTTCACTTACTACATTTTAATGGAAAATGAGGTTGAAAGGTAGGATTGAGTCATATAATAAAAATCTTTGAATGTCATTTTAAGGAGTTGGAATGTCATTCTGGAAGCAGTGGGGAAAATCTGGCAGTTTTCCTAAAGTTCAGGTTGGAGCATTATATGGAGAAGAGAGAAACCAGAAGCAGGCAGGCCAATTAGAAGTTACTGCAACAGATGGGATAGAAAATGATGGAGATTTAAACTAGGGTATCATAGGGGTGAGGGGAGAAAAGAAAGATGAAGAAACTTGGGTTCATGAGGATGAGAATCAGCAAGGTTGGTGACAAGTCTCACATGATGCCTGAGGAAAAGCAACTGAGAGTCAAATAAAAATTTCTAACCCCAGAGTAACATATCCATGTGATTCAGTAATTGATTAGACTTAGAAAATAACAATTGGATCCTAAATATAAAAATCACTCCAAAAAAATGTCAAATTGTTCCCCACAGCAATTACTCTGAAATCCTACTTCTGAATGTAGGAGAAAAAAGTAAGTTATATATAAAAACCAATTGCTCTACGGGGGAAAAAATGAAAATGTTATCCTTGGAGCAAATTATTCACTTAAAGGAAACACCATAGCATGTACATCTCAGATTTACTCCCAAGTCACTAGATCATCTAATGAGAAACAAGAACTATTGAATTAGTTCCAAAACCATATAAAATTCACTTATAAAATACATCAGATCTAAGAAGATATAATCTACCAAAACCAAATGCCTGAATGGGTTAAATTATTTCGGGATACATCTCAAGTGCTCTATAGACTTATATATCATTATTTATGTTGAAATTCTAGGTGGTAATTGTGCTATTCTAAATTCTAAACCTCCTAAAGTTTCCTGTCCCTTAGTTCTTCAACCAAATGCTAATTTAGGTACTGTTATGATTGAACTTTGCTGATGAAATTAAAAATACTAATCAGCTGACCTTAAAATGGGGAGATTGTCCTAGATTATCTGAGTGAGCAAAAGTAATCACTGAGTCCTTAAAAACGGAGGAAGAAGAAGAGGAAATCAGATGCTATGATGCTACAGAATGAGAAGTCAGAGAAATTCCAAACACAAGAAAACTTTGAGTTGTAGAGGTCCACATGCAAGTACAGAGAGTGAGCCCTCTAGGAGCTAATGCTGGCTCTTAACTAACAGCCAACAAAGAAGTGGGAGTCTCATTCCTACAACCACAAGGAATCAGATTCTGCCCACCAAAATGAGCTTGAAAGTGGAATTTTCCCAGAGCCTCCTGATAGGAGCTCAGCCGGCCCACACCTTGATTTCAGCCTTGTGAACCTTGAGGAGAGAGTCAAACCAAGCCAATCCAGCCCTCTGAGCTATGGAACTATGAGATAACATAGTTGTGTTGTTTTAAGCTGCTAAACTGTGGCAATTTGTCACGGTGGCAGTAGAAAACTAATACAATAATAAAACATAAAAATATACATTTTTTTAATATCCGTCCCAGAAAGTGACTTGCACAAGTTGTGAGAAGATAAATATGGAAAATTCAGAAGAGCAATAGGGCAGAGGTAGGCAAACTGTGGGCTGTGGGCCAAATTAGCCCAACTACCTGTTTTGTACGGCCTACAAGTTAGGGAGTTTTTAAAAATTTTTAAATGGTTGGGGGAAAAAAATCAAAAGAAGAATATTTCATGACATGTGAAAATTACATTAATTATACTAAAAATTCAGTATCCATAATAGTTTTATTTGAATATACTCATTCTCATTTGTTTAAATGTATGGTCTCTGGCTGCTTTTCTGTTACGACTGCAAAGCTGAGTCGATGAAGCAGAAATCACATGGCCAAAAATCTAAAATATTTACTTTATAGCATTTTATTTTTTAAAAAATTTGCTAACTTCTGCAATAGCACAAAGAGTTTACACAAAAAGAAATAAGAACAAGAGAAATAATATCAATCAGTGGTTGAAAACCACCCATTAGTGGCATGCCAAAATCTCAGGGTTTTTTGTCTGTCCTTGGGATGTGCGGTGGGTGATGTGGAAAGCACACTGAGAACACTTTCATATATGACAGGAAAAAGTAGGACACATCCAGTCTACATGCCCCAGGAAATGGGCTTCCGTATCATCTTTACCATATAAGCCTAGAGCTGCCAACACCTAACACAAATAAGATCTACCAAGAATTCTTAGTCATTACCTTTTACTATTCTTGTAAGAACACTATTATCCTTTTATTTGCTCAACTCAAATATGCTCTTGAGTCATTTGTAATTTCAGAGCTCTATGACATCAGAACGGTCTCTTGTAATTATGCTTTTGCCATCTTCTCAGGTCCAGGAATTAGATGGAAATCTTAGAAAAATAAGAAACTAATACCTAGTAAGTGTATACCATGCACTAAGTAACATGCTAGGCACTTTATATATACCTCTAATCCTCAATATAAGCCATAAAGTAGCTATTATCATTCTCAATTTATAGATGAAGAAACCAAAGCTCACATAGGTTAAATAATTTGCCCAAAGTTATAAAGGTATTATGGCAGAAATAGGATTTATATTGAAATCCACACCTTTTATATGTGACAAAATCGTCAGATGAGAACTCACATTTGTCAGCCTTAATAAGGCTCTGAATAAGGGTGAAAAGCTATGAAATTCAAGGAATAACATGTAGCATTTCATATAATGGACTGTGATTGCTTGTGTTTGTGTTTGTTGAAGGTAGTGATAGGAACAAAGGAGGGGTGAAAGAGGAAAGAAAATAAACATGATACTCAATGTAAAATTTATATCCTTTTCTGCCACATCAATAAAATACTTGAAAAATACAAGGCTTGAAATAGAGTTTTTGTTTCCTCTAGGTCATACTCTGAAGAATGAGTTTGACTGAAATTAAGTGAGTTACACTCATTATTTGTGATTAATGATCACTGAGTATTCAGAATTTTCTAGGCCCCAATTTTAATATTAAAGTCCTGGAACTTCAAACTTTCACTTGAAGCTTAAACGTAAAGTCAAGTTCTTAGATTTATATGGGAAAAAATAGGTGATCTTACTCTAAAAATGAACAACAGTAACCGAAAATAAACCTTTCTCCTTTTCTTCTATTAACCTCTGAGATAAGATATGCTTATTAGATATGCTGAGATAAGTTTCCTTGTTATTATTCATAAGGAAAGTAATTAGAATTATTTACATTATTTACAAATTTACTCATTACACATCAAATATTTATTGCATTCCTAGTATGTGTTAGGCCCTTTTCTAGGGCTAAGAGTATAGACATGAGTAAGACAAATGAGGACCTGGACTTTATGGAGATGATGGTTGATATTTACTCCTTTCTCCCTTTCCAAATAGGAAAAGTAAAAAGAAATCCCTAGATACTAGACACCTTATGGTAAAACTACAGAACACTATAGACAAAGAGAACATCTTTGTAGCTAGGGAGGGAAAAAAAATCCAGATTACATACAAAGAATAACAATTAGAATGGCAATTTCCTTCTAACAGTAATAATGAAATCCAGAAGCCAGTGAAATGGTATCTTCAAAGTTCTGAGAAACCATAACTATCAACCTAGAATTATATATCTAGAGAAACCACTGTTCAGGAATGAGGGTGAAATAAAGAAATTTTCATCAAAATAAAAACTGAGATAATTTATCATCAATAAATTATCAGAGTTTCACTGAAGGAACTTCTAAAGACTGTATTTCAAGAGGAGGTAACTAGAGCTGAGATATAAAAAATGGTGAAAAATTGAATTGGTATAATGTGGATAAGTCTAAATAAATATTGATGTATAAACAAAAATTAAAACATCTAAATTATCGAATTAAAGGATATGTCTAAAATATAAGACAAAAAAGTATATATAAGCAAGGAAAAGATATTTCAAGTTTAAGAACATCAAGTTCTTTTTACTGTCTAGAAGACAGTTAAAACTATAGCTTTGTAAAATTAAATATAAATGCTGTGATTTTTAGGGTATCCACAATAGTAGAAAGGATAAAATGGAATGAGAAAAATATACCTCAATCTATCTAGAGATGATTTGAATAAAAGCAAATATTACAGTAATCACAATAAAAGGAATATAAAAATTGCAGTAAATATAATGAAGATAACTAGACAAACTCTATAGTTTAAAAAACATTCAGATTAAACTTCTAAAATTATATATAGCATATATTCATAGCAC